AAACACTCACGCACACACACACACAAACACACTCACACACACACTCACGCACACACACACACACACACACAAACACACTCAAACACTCACACACAAACACATTTAAACACTCTCACACACAAACACACTCAAACACTCACGCACACACACACAAACACATTTAAACACTCTCACACACAAACACACTCAAACACTCACGCACACACACACAAACACATTTAAACACTCTCACACACAAACACACTCAAACACTCACGCACACACACACAAACACATTTAAACACTCTCACACACACACACACACACAAACACACTCAAACTCTCACACACAAACACATTTAAACACTCACACACAAAAACACTCACGCACACACACACACAAAGTCACTCACACACACACTCACGCACACACACACACACAGACAGACACTCACACACAGACACACAGAAACACACAGACACACACAGTCACATGATCACATGATTGCATGTGACTCACTCTGTTCAACTGAACTAAATCTCTCTGTTTCAAGTATTTATGAACATGATTGTGTTTACATACAATATTGGCAAAGCAGTATTATACAAAATGAATGAAGACAACATTCTGAGTGAGACCATCTGTGTTTATCCTGCATTCTCACACATAAACACACAGCGCATAAACGATCTCCTGAGGATGCATACAGCAAATATCAGTAGTCCACTGTATTTCTCGACTTCAGAAGTCACATGATTGATTCACGTGAGGAACAGACGCAGATATCAGCATGTTTCTGACTGCGTCTCCTGTGGTTTTTAGGCTCTGGTCCTCCTCAGTTCTACATCGGTCTCGGTCCTCGCATCCACGGCCCAGTTCACAGCGTCACGCGCTTCGTTCAGTACATTCTGGCTAATCTGACGGGAACCGTCACCAACCTCACGGAGAGCCAGTGCCAGAATCCCAGCGAGATCAACACCGAGAACAAAGACGTGAGCAAAGCTTCATCTCACTGACACACTCTGCAGGACATGAAGGGGTTTTCAGAAGGGAATTATTGTGCATTTGTTGTGCAAAAGTTTGGGATCAGTAAGACTTGTAATGTTTTTAAAGAAGTCTCTTCTGCTCATCAATATAAAACTTTTCTAACAATATAAATATTTGCTGTCACTTCTTAACAATTTAACACATCCTCGCTGAATAAAAGTTTTAATTTCTTTCAAAAAAAAAAAGAAAGAAAAAAAAATTACTGACCTCAAACTTTTGAACGGTAGTGTATATTTCTTACAAAAGATTTCTATTTTGAATAAACGCTGTTCTTTTTAACTTTTTATTCATCAAATAATCCT